GCAATATGTAATATCCCTCATTCTAATGAAGAATAGCTATGGCAGTTGTTGTACAAAACAGGGAAACTAACTTAACTGTTAAAGGTCTTTATACCGTTAGGTATTTTTCCCAAAGATTTTACTGTGGTGTGAACCTTTTTTGCACTGTTTACTTCGGTATAGCTAACGATAACGATTTAAGAACAAAATACTCGATATACAGCCAAACTTCAGAACTTTTGTCTCTTCCGATACCCAACTTTAACATTCAATAACTTCAGAACTCCTATCATAGTTAAATTATTTTCAGTTATCAAATGTTAAGCAATAATTAGACTTTATATTTATTTAACTTTGGCTTTGATGCGAGGCCTGCAAGTAGTGAGGCAAGCAATAGACGAACATCCATACTAGAGTGGGCATGATTCTTTCAATTGAGAAAAAATACGTATATTTTTTACATGACTGCCCACAAAAAAGGAGTGTAATGTTTTTAGGGTTCAAGTATGTGCGTTTAGCCGTGTGATGCCGGCAGAGTAGATAGCCGTGTGATGCCGGCAGAATTAGCCGTGTGATGCCGGCAGAGTAAAATAGCACCACCCCCTCTATTCCCGTGGGGGTCGTAAGAGGCGACCGAGGGATAAACCCGACCCAAACAGCCAGGGCCAACCGTATGGTGGCGGTTAATCCACCACAAAAGCATTCCCAAGGATGGTTGACGTAGGCGGCCGGTCGTAAAATTAAGCCAAATCCTTTGCAACACGCTTTTGTGTTCAAAACGCGTTGCGCCGACCCCAAGTAATTGGGATAAGGGCAGGAAGATGATGTATGTGCGTTTAACCACTGTAACTCTTTAACCACTGAAGATCCGATTGGGAATTGTGTGAGAAGAATCCTTACACTATCCCGATTGTCATAGGCTATGTTTTGCATTTTGCAAATTGTATTTCCTTTAATTATAAAGTTATTGTTTTTCAACCTAGATTATTATCGATCTACTAAGATGTATTAATAAACATAATTTAACGCACTTATGGCATCATCTAAATGAATTCGTAAAACTTATGACAAAGTTTCGAAGAAACGGAGTCAAACAGTGACTTAACGAGGCTATAAAGGCAGGTCATAAAACGCAACTTATACATGCTTAATAGTGTTGTTAATACTTGTAGCTACGTATACGCAAATACATAGTACGTATATGCGGTATAATAAAATACACCTATAAACTGAACCGAAACCATTTAGACCTGAGAGGGACGAATGGCATAATAATAAATAATACAGCTACCAAAAGGCAATAAAATTGGACGACCTCAAAATATTTCTGATGCGTAGCTAAAAAAAATATTACTGCCTACTTAGGACCGGAATCGTAGTTCGGTTACGTTCTGTTCTTGCTTTTTAGAATTTTGTAGTCTACTCGTAACCCTTATTATTCCGTCAAATCTATTTGTCTGTCCGTTTGTATGACCCTTTGATAGATTCGTCAGTTTTTTGTAAAGTATGTGTTGTAGGCAAAAAGATAAATTATCTGCATTTAGATATCTAGAGACATTAAAAGTGTCTCTTTTTCCAAAAATCCTTACCTTAGCTTTAGAAGAACTGTTCAACGGCATACAATACACTACACCAGACGCAAAATATATTTATTTCCTCACTTTCACATTTTTTGGAGCCGCTCTGAGCTTAAGATAAGGATTTTTTTGAAAAAGTGTCATTTCATTTTAATGTTTCTGTATGTCTTGAGAAAAGAATGATTTGCTTTTTTAAAAGGAGCGTTTTTGAAACATAATTTGTTCTAGTTGTAAAACCTACATGCCTACCACTATTAGTACCGTTAGAAAAATCAAAAGAAATTGACATTAAAAAGGGGTCGTTCACTAATAACGTAACGCTCTTAAAGAGGAGCAAAAGAATAGTGACCAGGCGTTGAGGTCCTTATGAGGTTATTACTGAGGGTGAGGCAGAGGTCAGAGTAACTGTTAAAAAACGTTTTTTTTTTTGTTCAGGATTTGTAATTTATGGATTTTCAACAGATTTTATATCGAACAAATACCTGGTTACTTCTTAACAATTAAAACAATCAGAATTAATATTACGCAACGGAAAGGAGAGGGGGAGAGGGATCCCAAGCTTTACGGACCCGTTACGTGGGTGGTCAAAAATTTGTTGTTTTTGCGTCACGTAATTTGTGGACGACCCCAAACGCAACATTATGAGACGCTGCAGTTTGCCATCGATTGACGTCAATGGTTGTGAGATAAAGAGTTTATCTCGAACATAATAATAATTATAATCAAATAGAGGTAACAGAACGTGATAGTTTTTGAAATCTGCTGCTGCATCATCACAACACATCACGGACAAAGGTTACCTACATGAGAAATCACTGACATGGAAAATGATTAGGATGGCAAATAGTAACATGCGCTTACGCAGGTTAATAAATTGTAAACAAACAAATATCAACCCAACGATTTCATCCGCTGCCTTCACATTTTCTTTAGGAAATAAGGGGTTTTATTCAGGTCAAAGTATCATCTGTTACCATGGTGAAAGTAGCGGCGATCTCGACGCAAATAATCAGTGTTAATTGTGTTTTTGACTTTTTGTAATGATTTTTTCATTCTTAAGGCTCTGTCCGCACAGCAAATTATATTCGCGTACCGCGATTAATTCTCACGCGATATTTTATCTTGTATGAAAAAGCAAGTTTTCCCTCTTAAAAAGATTTAGTGTGTTACAAAAAAGCGAGAAACAATCCGAGCGAAATAAAATCGCTGTGCTAGTTTTGAAACTAGTTGAAAATAAAAAGGAAATAAATAATATATTTCGATCATCTTCTATCACATAGAAGCAGAATATGGCGAGAACGATACCGAAACATAACTAAAAAAAATAATAGATTGAATTTGCATTTATCCGCTGACCTATTCTTTTTTCACTAGGGGTTGGTCAGCGCTACATTTTAAAACTGTCGATAACTAAAAATAGTATGTGTAAATGGATGAATTTAGCAGGACGTGTGATACTTGTACAATTAGCTGATTTTCACATGCGGAAATTCAAAAATAGAACCCCAGAACTTATTGGCACGATTGAAGGTAATAATATCGAGATAACTCCGTTAGAGACACCGAAGATTTATTAATAGGCAATACTTACCTAATAATTTCTTCGTAAAAAGATATTAGGTAATACATATATATTTTTATTTCTTTTATATGGAAGTCCAGTCAGCAACTAAGTTTTAAAGGTTTGTGGCAATGCAATTATTTCCAAAATTAAAATGAAGCTTGATTATGAGGTGGATTTTATTTCGAAATTAATATAAATCATCTATGCTCATGTAGAAATAATTTTAAGTAAGTATATCATCGCTAAGAATATAGGTATTAGGTATGCCTAGGGGGGGGAGGCAAAATCGAAACAGGTGTTGATAGAAGATACTATTTATGGTCGCGGTCCTTAAAATTAGCCTCATGGTCTTCATCTGCCTGCCCTTACCTATCCCAAATCAGTTAGGTTATCCTAATCAGGCGCAACATGTTTTGTTAGAGCGCAAAATCATTTAGCTAAAGGATTTGGCAACGTTTTATGACCGGCCGCCTGCCTGACGTCAACCCTCTTTAGGAATGCTATTGAAGGTGGTATATTACGCCACCATGTGGTTGACCATAGTCGACAGATATTCAACCGAGGTCAAAAGCTCTACGTCGCCTTTTACGAAACACCCTGAATGGACCAGAGGTGGCAGTATTCTTAGTCGATACACACGGCAGGCCTGACAAGGATATTATAAACACAGTTTAATTTTATCACCAGGTTTTGAACATAATTTAAAAATCAGGGAATAATAACTTCTATAAACTAAAAGAAAAGCTAGTACCCCTAGAAAATTATAGTAGACGTCGGACCACTCCTTTGCGAAAGTATTTAATAATAATGCGATAATTTCACAAGTAGTTAAACTAAAGTTAGTACCTAAAGAAACGCATAAATAACTGATAGGCTAGGTAGATAGCACTCGTTCGTTATCGATGGATAAGGGAAATCTATAATCCATAATCAATCAAATATGAACACTAAAATATTATGCCCTTAAATTATCAATTACCTTACGGACCGTTATGCTTGAAAGAGGGTAAACAAACAATAGAGTCATACGGGGTAACTGGGCGCACTTTTGTCTTTACACCCCCGTAGCAAAAAAAGTATGAGTGGTAGGAGCGCAAACCTAAGTGTTTTGGGTAGGGCATTTATCTGGCTATAATAATTAGTAGACACGGTTACAGTAGGTTCATTATTCTTTTTGCTATTATGAGTTTTAAGGAAAAAATCGGAATGCGCTCACTTGACCCCAATTGTGGGTAAGTGAGCGCAGCCCTGTGGGGTAAGTGTGCACTATGTGAACGAGTAGGTTGGTCGATAAAAGAATTTATTAAAAATATAATTTCAAGGTACAACGGTGATACTAAAATTAAAATAAAGTAATATGTATGAAAACTACGCATATTAATAATTACGTTTATACCGCTTTGTTCGACAAAACATGCGCTCACTTACCCGCGCACACTTGCCCCACAAGCACAATTTTAAAAATAACTTTTACCGGATCTTAATTTCAAAACCAGATCAAAATATTTTTTATCCCATATCTGCTAAAATATGCACATTAACAAATGAAATAGAGTTTACCATGTTTGGATCAATAGCCGCTATGCAGCAATGTTTTCCAATACACTAAAATGTTTCGATTTAACTACCATTTTTGCTTTTTTATTAAAATATCCATGATGGTACACTACGTGGTCCAAATGATAGTTGAAACTAATTGGTTACTCCATCGCCACAAATTAACCCGAAGACACACCCCGTCCCCCGCATTCCGTTTCCGAGATATTAGCGATGCGCTCACTTACCCACTGCGATCACTTACCCCGAATGACTCTAAACGACCAATAAACCCACAACTTTCAGCTGTAATTTGGGGCAAACTGACAGCCGATTTGCAGCCGATGATGTAGCGCAGTGCTAGTGCGACTGCCCGCGATGCAGAAGATTCCGGGTTCGATTCCCGATCACTCATAAAGTTGATATTTATCACTTTGTTAATTTGTTCCCAAATTCGTCAGGACATTACCTAGAGGTTGAACCACGTAATTGTTCGAAAAGGAAGCTGGTACCGTGCTTCGGAGGGCACGTTAAAAGCCGTGACTCATTCTATAATTAATTACTTAAGCGTCGATCGTCTGAAACAGCCATGTCAGATGCCTGCTACTAGTAGTAGGCGGTTCTAAAACACTGACACCAGGGTTTATCGAGTCTTTGGACGACTTAGTGTCCCACACAAAGAGAAAGAGGGGAGGGTAGAGGCAAACTTGACAATTTGTGGATCACTGCAGGTATTTGAACGCGAAAAGTATTGTAGACAAAGAGAATAAAAGGGGTTTAAAAATACGTCCGGTCCAATTAATTAGAGACAATTAGCCGCCCTTCCGGCAGCAACAAAAGGTAGAAAAACTCTTGCCATTAATTACGAGGCAAAGAGGGTGAGAGGAAGGTACGCAAAATTCCCTCTTTGTTTTTGAACTGGAATCTATCGGAGGGCCCTCTGCCCGACTGCCGTAGGCCAGGAAACGGGCCTGAGTTTAACCGACTTCAAGAAGGAGGTTAACGGTTCCACCCGTACGTAAGAACTGTTTGTACTTGGTTTGTGCCATTCTCAGAATTATCAATATTGTTTTTGTTGTACCTGCGTATGACATGTTTTTAAGTTAGATCTCATAAAAATACAACAGGAACAATGATCTGATTATCTTTTTAATTTATTTAGGAATGGTCTAACTTAGGTCCATTATACAGGGTGTTAGGGACGGTGTACCGAAAACTTTGCAGGCATGATCAGACCATCAAACTGAACAACTTTTACTATGGAGTCAATGGTGGGAAACGAAAAAAATTTTTGACCTCCCATACAAAAATCACGATCAGCTGACTGATTTTGTATGGGAGGTGGGAATTTTTTTTTCGTTTGCCACCATTGGCCCCATAGTAAAAGTTGTTCAGTTTCATGGTCTGAGCACGCCTGCAAAGTTTTCGTTACACCGTCCCGTATAGGGTGTAATTTTATTAGTGGCGGATCCGTTAAGGGTGTGTTCTGTCAATGAAACTGAACAATTTTCCCGAAGGAGCAGAGGTCGAAATACGAAAAAAAATGTTGTCTTCCCATACTAAGTGTGTTGGCCGGCCGGGTAAATTTGTATGGGAGGGCCAAATAAAAAAAATAAACGGATCGACCGTCCCACTTTTTTGTTAGGGTATAAACTCTTTGATCGTGTTATAAGATCAGTTGGGTATGTAGCTCACAAGAAAACTTTATATGATAGAAGGGTTTCAAGTTAACATGACACTTTGCGGATTAAAGCGGAACGTTTCATTTTTTTCTCATATTTCGCCCTACGTTCCTTGGGGAAAGTTGTTCAGTTTCATTGACAGAACACACCCTTAACGGATCCGCCACTAATAAAATTGCATCCTATATATAAAAGAAAAGAAGTAGTCACGACGAATTTAAAGTTTCTCCATTGTGCAGTAGGTATTTTCTTTTTTGCTAAATGACGACTTATTCAACAAGCTAGGATTAAGTTACCTTCCTGTTAACCTACCACACAAGAGCAAGGAAAACATTGAACAAGTTATCGCGATTCTTGTGTTTTTATTTTGCTCTACAAATATAAAGAAAACGGCGAGTTTCATATACATACATACTACAAGTAGATAATAGATATGTATGTATAAGTAAGTATCTATATAGGTAGAACATACCACTTATCTCAAGGATAAGTACTTGTGCATAATTAACCTAATAAGCTGATGCTGCTAAGGCGGTGATCATAATTACCGTTTGCTGTGCTAGCTAATTTATGTAACGCGTAACGCTGCGTCGACGAATGCGTCTGTCAAGCCGTTTAACATACACCGTGTAAAAAATAAGAATGAAATTCGTATTTTCCTAACGTTTGCGTTACGCAGTGCCAAAAAACGCAGCTACGGACGACGTTACGTGTGATCCCGCCATAGAAGAAGAAATTACACAGCTACCGTTTGACGACTGATGTGGTTGCGCGTTTGAATCAATGTATCTATTACAAAAAAAAACGCATAAAATTCCGTTGCGTGGTTTAGGTTGAGTTAGCAAATTCCACGACAGACAGATAAACTCAAAAAGCGACTTCAGTTTATACAATGCATTGATGATATAGGTTGCACTAGCCTGCGCAGCACCCAGCTAGAGTATCCTAGTGGAGCTATATAGGTACGTGATCGTGCTGCTGCTATTTTTGATAAAAGCTGGATAGGCGAAATTGGATATCAGAACTGGTCTGTGTTCTATTGCCAGCAAATCCAATACCCATTTAGGTAAGGGACCAATTTATACTGGTTTTTCATACAATTAATGAGAAAAATCGGCTTAGTGCGAGTAGGACTCGCGCACGAAAAATGCCGTACCATCAATACATACATAGGTACATTAGAATAAAATGAAATCACTTTTTGCGTTTCTCTGTCTGTCTATCGCGGAATTCTCTAACTCCTCCTAAGCCAAGCAACGGATTTTGATGTGATTTTTTGTAATAGATAGATAGATGTCTAGAGGATGGTTTAAGTAGGTATGTTTAACGCATGCCGAGGAAACAAGCTGTTCCAGTGGGAAAACGACTTGCAGCGGGTGAAACCGATAAATGTGTATAAAGATTGCATATAGCCAAGTTTGTTCTTTAAGAATATTAATTTAATTTTTATTTGTTGCTATATCGTTATATCTATTCAAGTTTCTATTCTATCAAGTTTTAGTATTTGTTATTATAGCGGCAACAGAAATACGGCATCAGTGATATTTTTTATTCGTTTTCGTAACAGCTGTTATACAAAATTTACACAGAAGGTAAGTGTTGACTGGGATACCTACCTAACTACTTGTGACCACTAATACACACTAATACATGCTAATACGTTATGATCCTATACATTTAATGTTCAGTTAAATTATTAAATAGAAGCTTACAAAAGAAGGTAAGTGCTGACTGGGATATACCTACCTACTTGTGACCAGTAATACACGCATAATACGTTATGCTCCCATACCTACATTATAATGTTCACTTAAATTATATTAATAATGTGACATACCATTATCAGGCAGATACTGCATCGGCAACTCTGGTTGGTTCGCCAAAAACACCAAAATGTTTCAATAGATAACTTTGATATGAAATATTCAGGTCTACTGGACGAGTAAACGTCCTGATATAATATATAATTAAGTACAAGCTTTTAACGACTCGTAACGGATTACATTATACTGCATTATCATTGGCATTATCTCTGAAACACTAATCCTCTAGCTGTCAATATATACTCGTACAAAATATTCCACCTTACCTAACCTAACCATCACCTATCGGATACACTTAATCACCACGTAGATTAGATGTGTCCATTAAAAAAGTAGCTATCAATTACCGTGGTCGTGCCGATAATATTAACACTCGATAACTATTTCGGCAGTGCTAATCAAGCCGGCAATATGTGCGCGTGTCGCCAAAAGAAAAAGTCATTCCTCATTGAAGATATACTTCAAGATGCCACGTCGAAAAACAAGTCGTACAAGAACCTGAGCCAGGTGCCGACGCAGCCCCTCACATGCAGCCGCAGCACGACCGCCGCTCCCGCCGCCGCTCCCGCCGTCGCAGCAGAGACGACCAACGCCAAGCACCACGACGATGCGCCGCTACCGACGATTCATGACAGACAAGTCAAATTCAACGTTGTTTGCGAAGTGCAAAACGAACTTGAATTAAGTAATATGAAAGGCAATCTCGAGCAAAGAAGGAATACATTCCCACTGTACCCGACACCTCTGAAAGCAAATATGCAGTATCCGACGTACAGAATGAAGGAGACCGGGGTGTACCCTGTGGACGCGCGACATCCCTTCAGTTACTTCAGCGACCCGATGCTCAACACCGATCAGATCCTGAGAAGTCAGCTCGCTGCTAACGGATACATGCCACATTCCTACACTATTCGACAAGCATATGGCCTGGATCGAGGTAAGAACGTCTTACTTTGCAACTCTGATGCTAATGATTCAACATGACTGCGATCGCGTAATTTATATAATTTTATAGAGTACAGATCATTATCCGAGTCTTATTTGACCGATTTTCGATATATCGTATCATCAAGGATTAACCAAATCTATATTCGAATTGAACACTTAAACATTATCGATAAGTTTATCTATTAACTAAATAAATATTTACGATTCATATTTTTATGATTTCAGTTTTGATGACTTGATTGTGATCTAATTGTCTAATAGATACTTATAACTATAAAATTAACTGATTAAAATCAAATGTGTTATCAATCGATACTTCTTAAACTTATCGGAATAATTTGATAAAAATGTTGAACTTTATCAGTTTCCGTTTGTCCGCCTTAAGTACAATTTTTTTAATAAGGTAACACATACCCTTAATCACAGTGATTCAGATCGCCGTTAGTCTGCAAAGCCATTTCAGGAAATTTCTCAGTTCTGCCAAAAAATTAACTAAATCAACTCAAGAGATACTTACATTGCATTTGATTGCCGAACCTTGGTGAAGATAGTAACTACTACTTTCGATTGATTGATGATTAATAGAAAATGCAACACCTACTTATACCTGGGTGAGATAGAATCAAGTACCTATAGCTTAGTTTAGACACAACTAAGCTATAGGTACTTGATTCTACCCCACGCTATAAGTGTTACAATCTCATTCGGAACTGAGTTTCACTGTACATAAAGTAGGTATAGTACCTACACAGAGTGGTAAGTAAATTAGTGCCTATAAGGGTTACTATCTGGAAAATACTGAATTTAAAATTTTACAATGCACCTTTGTTTGGGCTAATAAGAAGAAAAACATATCTCTCCAAGACTGGGCGCCTTGGGGGAAGCACAATGAAAATTATCTGCTTTTTTAAAAAAGTGCTTTGTATGAAATATTGCTGTATTTATTGGACAATGAATACAGCA